GATGTCAGTAATGCACATAATATCTTGAATTATTCTAAGTAATCAGGTTCAGCGTGCATAAAGGGGTTGGTTTTTCTAAGCTACAAGGTTGGTTGTACCATGAGCTCAGAAAATAGGGTTTATAATCGAGTTAGGTAAAAGAGGTAAATTGACTATGGCAGAAGGTTGAATAAGAGGTTGAGAAGGCAGTGAAAGCCCTGGATAGGCTCTAGGTTAAGCTCAGGGAATGATATGAGATCTGGAAATACAACATCTAGTTTGTATAAGTCAATTTCACCCTCAGGTTTGTCGATATGACATAGAGGTTGAGAAGAAATAGAAGTAGGTTGAGGAAGGGTGTCTTTTGAAGAGGAAGAAGGAGGTGGGGAGATGTGCACATCAATAATCGCTTCTAAGGGGTCGCTTCTAAGAGGAAGACGGGTGTAACGCCCCAAAACAGTAATGATATTCAGAACGTTTTCACTGCTCGACTATAAGTGAAATCCGTAATTTTCAGAAATTATCGAGTTATATTATTTATGCTAAATGCTCAAACATGATAAATTATTCTTTGAATAATTCTATCTCAAGTATAAGTTAAGGTTAATCCATTAATTTGGGTTATTAAATAATAGCAAGTCAATTCGAGAAATTACCGGACACAAACCCTAGTTGTCGTTCCGAGTATATTTTTCTAAGTCAAAAAAATTGAGAGTTGATATTTTAATACTTAGAATATTTTTCTAAGTGTGTTAGAATACCAAAGTCGAGCTTTGGACATTTTATATTGAGCCCTAGTGCTCACCCGAGCCGCCCTTGTTTTTTTTGGGGCTTAGGAATTTACCCTCCGTTTATACGGACTTGAACTCTAGTGGTATGGAGTTAAGTGTCATCTTGAGAAGTTCTTTGTTCTGAGTTTCGATATGGTGATATCGAGTTAAGTTTTGTTTAGTGTCTGAAAGTGAGGATCATTCGCGAGCCATCTCGAAAGAGAAGGCTTAAGTAAAGGGAGCAGATAACCGAAGAAATCCCAGGTGAGTGGATTATTCAGAAGTCTGTGAATATGGTGGATATAACTATTAGACGCGTGTTAGAACCCAGTTAATGAACCAGGAGTGGATTCTAAGTGTCGGTTTCATGTTGATGATCTGACCACTTGTGCTTGTAGATTCGTGGAGATCGGTTTATTGGCAGATTTCCCTCGTTATAATTTGTTCGTTATTATTCATTCATTTCTCGTTGGTTTGTCTCGTGAATTCTTCGTGGATATTAGAACTCTGTTGTGTTATCGATGCCCTCTTCTTTTGTTATGTATGGCTGGTATATGATCGAATGAATTCGAGCCTTGACTTGTCATCCGAACCCTTGTCTCGTGATCATTGTACGTTTTTAAGAGTTGGCTTTGAAAAACCACTTTTTGAAAACCTTCCATTGATGACTATTTGGTCGCTGTTTTGACCCCTTAAACTCGGTCGATAGGCTTTGAACTCTTCTGATGAGTTAAAGTTCAATCTCTTATGTTTCATCTCGATTCAGAACCAAGTGATTATCATATGTATGCTGGAAGATGTGGCCAAAGATCTTCGAGAGCGCGTCCAGTTTTGCTGGTTTCGATCTTATATGTGATCTATTTTCATTGTTGTCTTTTAAGCCCTGAAACCCCATCGTCTCTTGTTGTAGTCTTCTTGCAAATTGTAGATCACCCGGCTGCCTTTCATGAGGAAAAAGAATCGCTTGTTTATTATTTTTTTTGTATCGAGAATTGCGCCGAAAATCCGATCATTGCGTAGTCAGTTTTTCGTATAGATCGCAGTAGTTTGAGTCTTTCATTTTTTTTATTTTTTTTCGCTATTTTTGGCATGCTTCTGGTAATCTAGGAACCTTGATGTCTTCATACGAATTGTAGTTTTGTCTCTTAGGATTCAAACGGCGCGAGATTCATTCTAATAGCATTTTGTGCAAAGAGATACGAGCTTCGTGCAATAAGTTTTCTGGAAAATTTGCAGCAAATTTGATGTGTGAGATTGATCCGTTTCCAACCCTTTAACCTACCCGTTCACGCCTTTGCTGCCCGAGTGCTTTACCCTTGTCCTGGATTACTACCTTTCGCTTAGTAGTCAAGTTTGATTGTATTTCGAGACCCATCTCTACTATTTGATTATCGTATCGTGACAAATTTCACTTGATTTTTCTTTTCCTTGTGTGGAACCTTGGATGGAGTTGAGCATCGAAATTTCATTTTCTATTGATCCTTATCTGATGTCGAACCTTGTGTCGTTACGTCACCAAGTCGATGCCTAGGTTAACTTGAGAATACCTTAGCCTCGAGATAGACGGCGGTCAATTTTCTTTTGTGATCTATATTTTTTTTTTACGTGAACCAAGTGGTGTACAGAGAATCACCACATACCTAATCGGGAGCAGCCTCAGCACCTTTCTGGAGATTTTTTGTTGTAAGAGAATCGTTTAAGGAGGGTAGTCGAGCCTGATGTAAGCACATCGTGAGGTGTAGAGCCGTCATCATTTCTGAAATTGTGCTCATCGTAAATCTTTGAAAACTCTCGTTCTTTTTCCTTCGGAGTTTCGAGAGTGACCCTTTGTATTTCTTTGACCTTTTGGCAATCCTTTGAAAACTCTTGTTTTTGGTTCGTTTGGAGTTTCCATTTCAAGATTTGCAACCTAATATACTGATTAAGACGAGCACTTTCGTTTTTCCGCTTGTCTTATGTCGTGTCTTTCGATTTTTGGTGATGCCATTCGGTCTGGTACTCCATTCATACCCGGATCGGTCTGTTGTGTTTTTATCATTGATGGCCTATGTTCGAGATGCGATCGAGACGAATCAACCGAGGAGGCTTTGTGATGAGATCCAAAAACGTGACAATCTTAGCAGCGTAGAAATTGAGCTCGTTTAGGACTGCCGGCACAATTAGCTACCGGCGAAAGAGCTGACGTGAAGACCGACACGGTTAGTCGGAAGAGTCATGCGAGCTGATCATCTTCATTATTCGACAATGACAACTAAGTTAGGATTATTCCTAGCTGAGGATACTGATATTCGATTTCTTTAGGAGATTCCTCCATATCTCTAATGTCGATATCCGCTTGAAATTGTCTTTGTTGAACCCTAATGTTTGTAATTTTATAGGTTTTGTAAAAACCTTTCCTTTCGGGTTACCTCAGATAGTGCGAACCTTGAATTAGAGAAATTCTTTTTTGTACCTCGAACCAAGTGCCGACACTGAATGGGTGTAGCCACGCGAAGTGGTGGTCAGGCACGCAAGCCCGTGATGAGAGACGTGAGGCACTGTAGGGCCGATCGTTGACTCGCATGAGAGCTGCAACGACCATCATCGAAGGCAGGAACTCCACAAGCCAGTGTGTGCGGCCGAACCTTGACCTTGCAGCTAGTCTCCGAACAGATGTACGCACACGTCCCAGCGCCCCGCTTATGCAGCGCCAGTGTGTGTGACATCTCTCGGGGGACAGTGCATTTAACCCCGGACTGGCTATGTCCTTTTAGATCGTGAGTATGGGATTATCGTGCATCCCTATGTGAGAGACCGTCTCAGCGATAAGAGATCGTTTTTGAATATCTAGTCGATACTTCCTAAACCGCATGCGAGCTGTTACTCGTGTCGGCAAGGAATTAGGCTTTGTCAACAATATCAAACAGAACTGTATGTTCTGAAGGTATCAGTGTTGAGGATATAGTGTTGTTGATGATTGTTAGCCGTTCGTATGGGGTCCGTGGCAGCACGTCTGATACAGACGCACGGATCACATTGAAATCATGGGCGAGTTGTCAGCGTGACCCAGGCACAAGACTGAACTTAGCACCCTGTAGCAAATCCAGATAGTCGAGCGTTTGGGACATATTGTTGAGACCCTGAGTGACTAGTTGGAGTCTAGTGTACTCGTTTCGTGTGAAATTTCCTACCATGGGAAAGTTTGCTTATACCGATGGCTAATGAGCGACGATCTCGATGGTACCGCACGAGGCTCTGAGTACGGAAAAATGTGTGGTACGCCTCGAATTCTGGGAAGAGAGGAAGTATCAGCCACACTTTGTCGGTTCTTTTGGGATTCTCGACCGAGTCGGCTACTTAGCCTGACGATGGACCCAATCACCGGAGCTTGCGAGAGTGCAAGACCTGTTCAGTGCCTCGTGGAGAGGGGACATGTGCGTGACTCTGGGCACGTGGCGAACTTTGACGAGTTTCATGTGGGCAGAACCTTACCTTTGATGAGGTACCGGTGACCTACTGGATTGACGAATCGATTAGGGAGAGTCCGGGAGAGGTACTCGTCAAAGTCCGGCAGGGTAGCCATGGCTAGTGCGGTGTGACTTGGTACAGTGGAAAGATTCGGACGGTGTATCCGAGTTTAGTGGTTTGAGCTTCTCTCTTGTATCAGTTATCCTGTTGGGATTACTTTCTTTTATTTCCGGGGACGGAAATCGTTTAAGGAGGCTAGACTGTAATGCCCCGTTTATTTGTGGATTATTTGAGAATTATTTATTGATGATTAATATGATTGTTATTATTATTGTATGTCTAAATATTATTATTTGTCTAATTGTAATTAATTGCCTAAATATATATTTTATTAATATTATTATTATTATTATTATTATTATTATTATTATTATTATTATTATTATTTTTAATTAATGTGTGTAACAAATAAATATTATTCCGGCTATATTTATCTCATTATTATGTGTTAGAATTTTTAGAACTTATTTTGATTAGAATTTTAATTTGTTTCGGCGATTTTCGGTTTAATTGCGCAAACCGATTTTTAATCCTTTTCGATTGGTATTCGAGCCTTTTAAACCCGAACCTCGGATATCTATTTTTGACCTAATTGATGTTCATTTTCGATCCATTCGGGCCCAAATTAGTTTATTTTTCAAGCCCTAATATTTTCCCTTTTAATTCTCCAAACTCGTCTCCACCATGAGATTACAGATCGGAAATCTCAAGTCTCGTCTCTCTCTCAAATCCTCGCTTCGTCCTCTATCGCAAGCAAGCCATCAATGGCGTTTTCCCCTGTAGCCGTCGAGCCCTTTTGCGGCAGCACACCCCTCCTCTATCGGCCAAGTCGCCGTCTTCCTCTTTCCTGACCGACCTCCGCGACCAAGGAGCCGCAGACTTCACGGCGAACTGAGGGGCACCATTTTCACCGGCAACAGCCCACGAGCGAACACCCGACGGCCGATGCGAGCAGCGAGATTATGGCGATGCGAGTTCGGTTCTCGGCTGAAGTCACTAACGCCGGTGCGACTGTCTAACCCGATCTTGTACGCGACTGAAATGACCTTCGGTTTAGCGAATCTTGCCAGTGAATGAGGAGAATTTGAGCAGCGGATTGAGCAGGTTTTGAACACATTCGGTTGGCGCGACCATGTTCGACCCTTCGTGAGCGGCTTCTGTCTGATTCCTTCGCCGGCGACCCCGTCGTTTTTCCGAGCAGCCTATCTCAGCCACGGGCCGTCGACCTTGTGTCATCGAAGGTACCAGAGAGGCAGCCCGATAGTCGTCGAGACCCCGCAGCAGTCGTTCGTCGAGTCGTCCAACGATCTATCAGGTTCGGTTTGTCCCGTTCATTTGTCCGATTTCTGACCGAGACCTACGGCAGCGGACTAAGGCGTTTTTCCGAGAACAGCGGCCGCTGCTCCTCCTTTTCCGGCGAGACGCGTGAAACCATTGAGCCCGACGTCCCGTCAACCCGTTCGAACCATTCTTGCACAGTTCCCGAGAACGGTATCGAGCCTTGGCCCTTCGTTGATTAAATTTCGTGTTCATTTAATGCGATAATCGTGCTCTACAGATTAATTTGCTCAATGATGTTAATTGTTTATGAATTTGTTGTAATGTTATATATACACTATTGTCGTGATTTAATGTGAATTTCGTCGATTCGTGCGAATCGAATAATAACTTGTTAAAAGTGTTAAGTCGCTATGGATTTAGGGACTTAGGATCGTCATGAACACAATGGCTTTGACCTTGTGTCATTTGGATTTGTAGATTGAGAGATAGTAATTATTGAAATTGGTAATCGCTGTTTTGAATGTAAAATTCACAAAATATTCTGTGTTGCTCTGACTGCTTTGAAATTTTGAAGGTTATGTCATCTGATAAAAACAAGGCTCGTCTAAAAATTTAATAATTTTTCTCGGCCTGTAGCTATTTTAATTAATTAAATTGATTTCTGAGCGGATACTTGTTAAATGCATAATATATTGAGTTGTGACCCACACCTGTTAAAATTCGAGTATGTTGTGTCTTATGCACGTTTACATGTTTTGTAAAAGATTCAGAATTATTGGACTTCGTTTGGTAGGGTTAAAAATTATTTAATGATTTCTTTAGAATCGTATTTTAATTATTATAAACTGACCTGACGTGGTAAATTGCTGAAATTTGGTTCCTGGGCTGTTTCTGTGATGTTTTTCAGTATGTAAAAGGACGGGATTTATTTGGTTTCATTCAGGTTCAGTTTTGATTAAAATTAGAAATTTGCAGAAACTTATTTGAATTTTTAAAATTCGTTTATTTAATGTTAATGGCTGGAATTTTTACATGATGTTACTCACATGCTGAAGTATATGGTGTTAAAATATCAAGTTGTGATTCGTTCAATAGGTCTGCTTGTGAATCTATGTTCGTTTTTGCTGATAACTTGAGTGAATTTTTAAAAATCGTGTATTTTGACTTTGTGGCTGAAACTTGGTGGTTTTTTTAAGTATTGGGAGGTGAATTTTGTGTTAAATTTTCAGAACTTAACTCGTTGGTTTGATGGACTTTCTTAAACATGTGTAATTCTTGACCATTATTTTCAAATAGTAATTATTGTTAAGTGTTGGTGACCAATTTGTTATGTGTTTCCTTGTGGCTGGTTTTGATTGTCTTTTATTTGAAATTGTGTGAACTCCAATAAGTGGTTTGATCGAGTCTAAGTCCTAGAGTTCCAATTTCCACGGGACTTCACGAACAACTTAGTCGAATCAAGTTCGACTACGTCAAATGTGTGATTTTCTATTTTAGGTCTAGATAAAGCGTTGACTTTAGTATCTGGACTTAATGTAGGTGTCTAGAGCTATTGAACTCACCCTGCTTTCGAGATTCGTGATTGTGAACTGTCGCTGGAAACAGGTGGGTACATTTGTGATGTATTCCATAATTATCTCACTTATTATTTCGTAAAATGTTTCGTTTGAAAATTGTGTTATGCGTGAGAACCCTAGTCTAAGTGTCCCGTATGTTAGTGCCCTTGAGGAATGCATAAACAGTGAGAGATCATCGACCCGTAGATTCGGAGAGGTGACGCCCCGGTCCGTATGATATTAGTGAAGGAAAAAAACAGCTCTACTGTCTCCTGGAAAGGATCCTAGTTCCGTAGCCATTCGGTGATGGGAATGTTTCCAGTTACTTCCTTGTCGTTGTATCCGGAAGGTTGTTATATGTACATAGGAGATGTGCGATAGGGCCGGTTAGAGAGTTAGACTTTGGATTCTATGCATACTGTTTACTGTGTTAATATTTTTAAAAAATGCTTATAAATTTTTCGAAATCGTTTGCAAACTATCTCGGGATGCTGCTAAAAACTTATCTACTTTTAAAATTCGTTTTCTTTAAAATGGTCTATCTACTGGTTTAGACTTAAAGAAAATCAGGTTAAATATTTTATCATATCAAGCATATGAAACTAGCCCTGTCTGTAATATCCCATTCAGTAATTAATAAAAGTAATTATTCTAAGTAAGAACTAATTACTTTTATTAATGCTCGTTCCTAGTTCCGAGCCAGTTATTAAGTTATTCAGTTAAAAATTTGACTTTAAGTCGAAAGTATTCTCGGTTCAATATTATTCAGTAATCGAGCCAGTTCAGTAATTAATTAATTCCGGTCTGTTTATTTTTATAAATGGATTTATAAGACGGGATTAATTAATATAAGATGACGAATAATCGAAATTGAGTATATTTTGATTAATCGTTTAAGATAAGTAGTGAACTGAACCCAAGTATGTTCGGTCATGTGTTGAGCTTAATTAAGAAATAGCCGAGCTTTAGTACTAAATACTTAGAATTTTTCTAAGTGTTTAAGTCATCAAGATAAGATCATAATATCGAGCCTTAGCATAAGTTGATACAAGTTAAGTCTCGAAGTGCGGTTAAGTATCCATGAACATTTAAGTGATAAATGTTCAAAGAAGTGAGAAAATTTATTTAGACAATATAGTCTATTTAAATTATTTTAAGAGAAACCGAAATTTTTAGAATTTTCGGTTTTACGGTAATCGTTCGGTTTGAGTCCGAATGTGGTTCTGTAAATGTAGAATATTTCAAGATAATTATATTAGATCCTAAGAAGCAATATGAAGAAAAACTGTGAGTAAAGAATTTAAATTGTAGAATTTTCAGTTTTACGGTAAACGTTCATTTTAAGTCCGAATTGAGTTCCGTAAATTGTATTATTCTCGGTTTATTAGCATGATCCAAGACCATATATGAGCATTACTTTTCAGTAAAAGAGTTTTAAAAATAAGCCATTTTGAAAGAAAATGTAAAAGTAATAAAAAAAAGGATGATTTTTATAATTTTTATTATTTTGTTCCAAAGATTTTTATATGATGAATGCTGACAATTTTCAATAATATATGGAATCAATTCCACCACATTAAGCACGAAATTTTGGTCATCAATTGGTGAGAATGAGATGAGAAAATCACAACAAAGTTTTGCTAAGTCTTTAAGTTAGCATTTTTTTTCAACAATGGGTGAGAATTTTATTAAATTTTGGCGGACTAAGTTTTATCTACCAAAAAGCTCATTTATGACTATAGATAGAGGCCATTTTTTTATGATTAATTATATTTGTATAAGAATACAAGTTAATCATAAAATATTTTATGATTAATTAGGTTTATAAGTTTAAATTGTTTATTTTGTTCATTTCTTCACTCCATTATGATGTCTTGCCAATTTGTGCCTATAAATAGAGGCCTAAAAATCAGAGTTATCACACCAAAGAAAAGTACCAAAAGATATATAAGAGTGTAAGAGAGATAAGTAGTAGAAATTGTGAAGAAGTGAAGAATTTAGAAGTGAAGAATCAAGTTACGATTCTAGCAAGAAGGAGGTAATTTACTTATATTAAAGTTTTATGCTTAAGTTCATACTTTGATAATAATTTTAGATGTTTATAAGTATGTATATGATGATTGAGAAGTTAAATTTATAATTGATTATATAAATACAAAGAGTTAAAGTTGTTCAAGATCAATTATATAATATATGTACTTGATTTGATGAGATGTTGGTGAAGATATGAATAATCTGGAATAGTATGATTTAAATGAGTAATTCTTGTGTAAAATAGGAGTACATGAGAACAAGAGTTAAGTTATTTGGCATAGTACAACTTAAGTTATAGAGATTTGAAGATGAACATGTATGCTGAATTTTATGTTCAATGTTTTAGTTGTAACTTCAAATTCTAATAACTTGATGTATATGCATGCTAAAATTATGAAATTTTTATGACATGTCTAATTATGAGTTGAGATTATAACTGTTAAATTTCATGATTTGAAGAGGAGAAATGAATAAGTTGAGATAATTAGATGGCATATATGTAAAGATGAGTTTATATGCAAGAATATTCATGATATGTTCAAGTTGTTTAAATGAGATTATTATGAACAATTATTATGATTTGAGTTTATTTTCACTTTCAAGTTAATTAAGTGAAAAATGAGTATAAGCCAATATATAAGATTTGGGAATATGATATATGACGAGTTAAGTAATTGATTGAGTAAAAGATCAAGAAAAGTTAATTTGAGAAAAAGTATGATTATTGAAATTTCTATAAGATTTGGATGAGTTATCCGAAAGAATTAAGAATCCGAGCATCTTATTGAGTATACGAGCATAGTACTTAGTATATTTATTTATATATTTTTATGTAGCTTGAAGAGTTTGCTACTCGAGAAAAAAACTTACGATTTTTCAAAAGACGAAAGGTGGGGACCCAGACTGGGTATTACATTGAGTATAATATTGGTATCATGTTCGAGGTATGTATAAAGTTTAAGTTTTTACGCTTGGGAAGAAGGCCACAAGTTGCCCTACAAGTACTTCCTAAGTTCTGATGGAGGCCGCCTAAGTTGCCTTAAGAAATATCCATCAGATTGTGCACAAGTATCCGATCAGATATCGGAAAGAGAAAGAGTAAAGTTTCATTTACTGGAACAGTCCAGTTATGTATATACCGAAGATCATGATATTGTACTATTATTGCTGTTTACTTTAGTATGGGTTTTTATGGAGTACAAGAGGATCAGTACTCACCCCCATTATGTTTTTCAGGTAACAAGGTCGGGCCGGAGGTGTGAGCTCGAGAAGTGGTGGTGGTGGTCGTGCATTTCATTCAAAGGACATTCATTATGTATTTGATAAGTTTGTATAATAAAATACGCTTTCAATTATTCCGCTACG